GCTGTATGTCTAGGTAGAAAGTGCATTTTCTTCTGATCTAACTGCATGAGAATTCCAGGCAAAGAATATCACTTAGAACTATACCATAATTCCATTAAAAAAAAAAAAAATCCTGGTTTTATCTTATCTTGGATGTACAGTGCTCCTGGTTCCCTGTAGATACAGTCTCCCTTGATACAGAAACCCAGACACTGATTTTGAAGATAGAGTTCATTTTGGACTTTATTGAGGCAATAGACCTTGGTTTTGGCTGCCTTCAGAGGACAGAATTTCAGTGAAGCAGAGCTGATGTTGTAATCTTGGATGATGACAGCATTTGTGATTGTTCAGTGAGCCTTCCAAGGGATCAGCCTACTTCTCTGGGTTTGGACACAATTATTTTCATTCTGACAAAATTCCTCGTGGTGTGGAAGGAGATCACAACTATAGCTCGGGTAGATTTAAACCTTTCCTAGCCACAAGATGTTTTATTGTTTGCATCACGTCCTGCATTTTTAAAATTTTCAAAGTCAGTGGAGTAAAAGGTCTGATTTTCTTTTCAGAATGGTGTATGAAGTCAGCTGTCCAGAGATATTTTTCTCTTTGTAGTACTTGTAGGAAAATAGGCAAATGTGTAAATTTTTTAAATTGTACTAAAACAGACATCATAATGAGATTATAATTTTAGAAAACAACTGGCTATGAATGAAAGACTTCTCTCTTCCCTTCCCTAATTAATTTTTAAAACCCCAACTTGGCACTTTTTCCCCCTGAAATGATACCTGTCTCTCTTTATCTGTACAAGATAGCTGTAAACCAAAATTATTTAATTAATTGAATGATGTGATTCAAATGCTATATATGTAGACTTTTATCCCATTTCTCCCTCCCACCAGTGAGGAAAAGAATTTTATGTTTAGGGGATTATACCACTAAGATCATGAGTTTAATGTGAAGCTCAAATGATTGGCATTGACTGTTTTATCAAACAAGAATAAAATTAGAATGGTAAAGTAAATGCAACCTAGAGAAACGAGACAGAAGGCAGAAAGTGAGGAGCAAGTTTTTTCCACCGCTAGTGTTTTTGTAGTTGTTGGCCACAAAAGCATCTTTCTGAGATATTTTGCTTGGTGTGGTGGGCTGACCAAAGCAGGAGAGAGGCAGTAGGATAAAAAACTTTCTCAGGCTTCCCAGCAACAGATACTTTCTGATGAACAGGGCTCCTAACCACTCAACAGAGCGATACGCTTTATGCCTCACTCACCACAGCTTTCTGTTGCAATCTTTGGTTTATTCACATCTAGTGAACTTGATTGTGCTTTCATTAATTGGAGAATGAAATTTTTAGTGCTTATCTATTTGAAAGTAAGCTCTTGTAACTCATGGTATAGAGTCAATTGAACAAGGGCTTTTAGAACAGAGTATTGACTATTCTTTCTTCAAAGATTAGATTTTATTTCCAAATTTTGGACAGCTTTTTGTGCCTTTCTTTCTCAATGTTTTGGTTTTTTTAATCTAGTGCCTGGTGCTACCGCATTTGCAGAGTTTGATCCAGAAGAATTGAAGCACATGCTTAAGGAAAAGAATGGCATGAGGTTCATGAACCCCATAATTAGTTACCCTTCCTAGCTCTAAGCAGTAATTAAATCTGTCACTTCTGCTCTGCTGATTCATTTATTTAGCTATTTAATTGCTCAGCTCAATACGTCTTTATCTCCGGAACTGCAACATTTTATTCAGGCTAAGGAATAGCATAACCCATTATTATTTTTTGTCCAAGGGCAGGGACGTAAAAGAAAAGAACACTAATACTAGATGATTTGGTGGTGCTGTCAGTTTTCACTTATCAAATAAAACAGTATTTAAGGGAAAACTTCAACCAGTGCTTGAGGATAGCTTTCAGTACACAGGTTTCCTTCTCCAGGAAATTATGTCAAATGAAAGGACCCAATGTATCTGATCCAGGTTTCTGTTTCCATAATGAGTTAACTTAAAGCATTTCCAGATAAAATATAATTCTCCACAATTCTCCATAAAGTGAGTGCTGTGTTGGTAGAATATTTTATGACATTTTAAAATTGCAAATATACATTAAATTGTTTATAAACTAAATAGTATCTTTGCTGTGTACATTTCAGTTTTGGGACATTGCTCAGTCAGGGAGATTTCTGTCATCTGTCTCTTAGATTTATCATCAAATGGAGCATTTTGATCTGAGAAGCAAATGGCATTTGGAATACTTTCACACTTGCAAAGACAACCCTTCTGAATATCCCTTTGTGAGGCATATACCCATACATGCAGTTTTTCTTATGTTACATTTTCATCAGTCCTTAAGGGAGATTGCAAGATTCCTCCACCATTTCTATCCATAGGTTGGAAAAGCTGGTGTAGGAAAGCAGCATGCAAAATGAAGAGGAGCAGATCAAGACAGATCAATACAAACAGTCTTTTGGTGAAAGGAGATTTTTTTTTTTAATTTTATTTTTATAATTCTTTTTATTTCTCCTCTTTGAACTAGGGAATGACACATACAAAAATTAAAGATAAAAAACTCGCCCAGAATTCAGAGACAAGGATATTTTTCTGTCACTTCTAGCATCAGTAACTCAGTTCCACCAATTTGTTTGTCTGCCTAGCTGGCTAAATTTTTATACCGTGCACACAGCCTTGCATTTCACTCCATTAGTGATTTATTTTTGCTGTCTTGTTATTCAGTCACAACTATGCAGTTATTTAAGTCATTGCTCATGTTTTTACCAAGTAAGCTTATTATTCTAAAAATCTTCTTTTTTTTTTTTTTTTTGCTTGCCTGGAGGGGTTTTTGTTGTTGAGGATTATGTCGGGGTTTGAGGATTATGTCGGGGTTTTTTAGTCCTTCAGTGAGACTTCTGTCCACTCTTTTGCAATGCAACACATGTTTGTACTGCTGCTGTGGCCAACACAATTCAGTTGGCCCTGACTGAAATAGAGGCAGGAGCCTGTGTAAAGACCAGTCAGTGGAACTGGCAGGGTTAATTAGCCATATTGCATGGAACACCTTGGAAATTCAGCTGGATCTATTTCCATTACCCTGGCCGCTGTGCTGGGCTGCACAGACCTGCACCATGCCTGTGCCAGAGTGAGGACCTCTGCTTCCCTGTCCCCCGTCATCAGGGAGGGCTTTGTCAGCCCACAGGCTGGCAGCTTTGGCCCAACAATGCTCAGTCTGTGTTGTTCGTGTTGGTGTTGTTGTTTTGCATCTGTGCACTCGGGGTTACTCACAGCTCTTTGTTGAAATAAAGAATATTTCTCTCTCTGCTGAATCTAGGAAGTCTGGAAATCTTGTGGGCAGTTTAGTTCTTGCAAGCCTGCATATAAGATTTTTGGACTAGGGTTTTGTATGAGCTTCACTTAAATATTCTTTCTTTTAAATCAAGTGATCTTCTAAAAGTACACTCTTTGTTACACTGGGCATATGTTCAAATTCAGGGAATTAATAAAGCAGCAAAAACCCTCCGTGACCATCCTTTGTGGGTAAAGGTGCTTTGAGAATAAGTCTGTATGTGAATTGGTTCAGTTTAAGAAAGCAGTGTTCACTGCGGCATCACAAACAAGTGTGATCAGAAGAGGGCATGGGAATGAAATAGAAAAAATAACATGTATTTGTAGTAGAAGTTGATTTTTTGAGTTGATGGAAACCTGACAGAGGAAATACAGGGTTAATTTCAGATGGCCTTTATCTCGGTTCTAAAAGAGCATGCGGTTGGTCAATAGGATTAACTACTTTTACACAGATTTGTACATAAACATTGAGGCACGAGACTTGGACGTGAGCTGAGTGCCCTCCCTTTGCAATGATTGCATTCTTGAACAACGTCTGGAGAGGGAATTAGGTGACAGTGGCTATTGGCTTCCCCTCAGATGAACCTAGCTGTTGTCATCTGGCCATCAACAGACTGGAAATTACTATCTCGAAGGCACTGCAGAGTTTACAAGCAGCCTTCTGGGACCGAAACCACTCCCTTCTCCCACTCTGCCCTCCCCATGCTAGAGCCAGGGCATCCAGATACTTACACAGTGTGAACTGGGCATTTCTGAAGTGATGTACAAGTCCAAAGTCCAGGCACTGCTGGAGAAGGCACTGTGCTTGATCAAGGGTGTGTTGGCTTTTTGTGAGTTTTGTTGTTTGTTTAGTTTTTGGTTTCTTGTTAGTTTTCAACTGCAGTTCACTGTATAGTTAGAAACCTCAGGCTGTACTTTCTCCTCACTCAAAGCACTGGAATAATGTTAGTGTAAATAATGTGTCTAAATCAAATTACATTAAATCCTCCAGTTTCATATAAATGCACCCGTCTGTACTGTATTAATATATTGGTTTACTTATTGGTGTATTGGGAACTTCTTGTTTTAAATAACAAGGTAAGCCACCGCCTGTACTATTTGTGTGAGGCACCATATCTGTGGGGTTGGAGTCTACCTCTGCCCAGCGCTGGTCAGTCAACTTGGTTATATAAGGTGCACAGACTTGGGTACCTATAAATATTAGCGAGCAGCTGTCACAAAGGGATTGTGAACGAGCTGCTCTGGACCTCGAAAACATAATAGCTTGGCACCCAGAAATACACAACTTTGATAACATACTACGAGGTCACATATTGGGGAGAGAGGGTAAGGAGGTGGCGACTGCTTTTAATCGTTGTCTCTTTTATAAAAAACAACCAAATTTTCTTGCTTTGTGTTTCTGGTATACATCGGATATTTATATTTTTTATCACATTAGGATATGACATTCCTGGCCTTGCCAGTGCTTTTGTTTGGATATTTATAGCAGCTTCTGGTCATTGTTGAGCAAAGGCGATTGCCCTGCCCTCTGGCCCTTTCTTAAGCAGATTTTGGGCAGAAGCTCCTCTCGTGTGGCACTAATTGAAGTGACTAGTGGAGGGGGTGTTGTGAGCACACTTGTGCTGATTTGCCAGGGTCTAAGCCAAGGGAGGAAGAGAGGATAAAACGGGAGAAGGGAGGAAAGAGGAAGGAAAAAAAAAAAAAAAAAAGGAGAAAAAAAAAGCCGGGCTTTGCCTCGCTCCGGCAGAGCAGAGGGCTGCGAGGGCTGCCGGCCATCTGTCCGCGCAGGGCGGCACGGCGGGAGCTGCGCCGGGGCGGCGGGAGCGGAGCCGCTCCGCAGGTGGGTGCGGGCCCGCGGGGGGCGCCGGCCGGGCCGGGCGCTGCCCTCCCGGGGGGCGCGGGGCTCTTTGTGTGCGGCGGGCCGGGAGCCGAGCGGGCCCGAGCGGCCGCGCTGCCGGCCCGGGACGGGCAGCGCCGGGCCGAGTCGGGAAAACTCCGGTTGTACAAGCCCGAAACCCAACAAGTTGCGGTAGAAGTGCTCCGTGCGGAGATGGGGCGGGTTTGTCCGCCGCGCGAGTGAGCGGCGCTGAGGGAGATCCGTGAGGGACTGTCAGTCGGGACAGTGGGCTGCCCTCGGGTGAGGAGCCCCGCCTGAACCGGGGCTCCGGCGCTCGGAGGCGGTAAGATCGTCCGGAGCCTGCTCGGTGTGTGTCCGTGTGCCCCCGGTTAATGGTTTCCTGCAAGTTTAACGTGGAGCGGGGAGAGGCCGAGGAAGACCACAGGGGTTGCGGCGGGATTAGGAAGGCAGAGGTTAGTAAGTTTCTGACGTGCATCACTGACAGAAGCAATCAATTTGGAATATTGTCCCATATTTTGGAATTTGTGTTGGCATTGGAAGTTTTCACGTTTCGTTCAACCGTTGATGTTTCTGGAGGCTTTTCTTGCTGTTGTTTTTAAGTTGCTGTGTAAACAGCGCGAGTAAACAACCGGGTTGTCGCTCAGCGAGCTGTGCAGTGGGGGAAAGTGAACTTCGAAACGTGTGTATCCTAAAGAAAAGTTCGAAAATACCCAGTAGTTTTAAATTAACAGTAATAATAGAGGAATCCGGGCTTCATACCTCTTTACTATGGTCATTAATATTACTATTTTTGAAGATGAAAGAAAAATTGTTCCTGTGCGCCTAAAATGATGTTTTAATGTCCTTTATGCATCTGTTAGAATGTCCTGATAGTGGATATGGTTATGTTTAGTGTACAGCTTGTATTTGTGTTTCTGATAACCTTCTTAGTGCCACTGGAAAAATAAACACTCCGTAAACGCACATTACCTAAACATATTTTAGCAGCTCAGGCATAAATTATAGGCAGCAAAATGCAGGCATAACTGGCAATTCCTTTGCATGTCTATCTTCAAGAGTTAAAAAGAAATAAATAAATATCAGTTAGACGTGTGTGTACCATCCAGTCTAGCTGTAGGTCTTGTTTGTTTCTTTTGTATATGGCTCTAGAAGTAGAACAATAGTGAAAAATGGAGTTGATCAGCTGGTAATCCATTTGTCCATAGCTTATCCCTAAAAATATTCATGTGCAAAGTTCATGAACTATCACTGAGAATGGTTCAAAGCCGAGTCCAGGAATTGGCCTTGCTGAAATCCGTCAAGAGTTTATAAAAATGAACAGAAAAGCTGAGGTTTTCTTCCTCATAAACCTCTTAAGAAATATGTCCTCTATCTAGTATGCTACTCACTGTATCCAAGGCAAGGGGAAACTTTGATGAATCATGTGGATATTGCTCCATACTGTCCTTATCTATAATCAGGCGAACAAAAATATTTTTACTTTCTTTAGTCTGGAATAGCTGGTTTCTTACAGAAGACCTTGCCTTCTGTCTTTCTCTCATCTGTGTCCTTGCTGCAAAAAAACAAGTCCTCAAGAATATAAGCATTTGTTTTACTGATTATATTTCTTATCTCTCCTGCCTTCCAATTTATGCTGGTTTGAATATTTCTGTAATATTGAAGTCAAGTTGCCATTACTTCCTTCAAGGACCCTATTTAAACACATTTGGAGAGTGTGTGCGGTATGATAACGTGTAGCGCCATGGATATATTTAATTTTATTCTTACATGGCTCCATTTATTTCTCTTGTTACTTCAGAGAAGCAAGAAACATGATGAATGCTCCATTAGTGGTATTGGTAAGAAATACATTAATGCGAGTGCACGGTCAGTAAGAAAGTGTTTTTATTTGAAAGCCTTCTCGTACCAGACAGCGTACTAATAATCATAACCTGTGCCACATATCTTCAGTGCTAGATTGCATTTGCTTTTAGGTTCTTTATAAATACAGCTTTTATTCAGGATAGCTGCATTTTCACCAAATGCCCAGGCTCCTTGCTCCTTTTCAGCCTTTGGAGCCTCTGAGTGCTGCGGGAATTTGCTGGGCAAAGGACTGGATGTCCGTGGGGCAGGCAGTTCAGGATGCTGCACTTCTCAGAAGCCAGCCTCGGTATTGTAGGACACTGAGGTCTGATAATAAAGTCAAGTGAAATGTGGTTTTAAAAATATAAGCCAAATCCGAAGACTGCTGTGTTGGTTGGATACCCAAGAGCAAGCTGGAATAGCCACTGTGACAGATAACTGAAAATGCGGTGAGCGACTTTTGCAAGCCATAAGGGATAGCACTCCGTTTTCTGCACGTGAAGCCGCTTTCCACGGATCCATACCAAGGCAGGAAGCTGTCCTGGTGAAAGGACAGGGGTTCATATCCCTCATGCTCAGTATCCAGGCAGAAGGACAGGACATGGGAGAGCAGAGGGTGAAGTGGCTGTCCTGCTTAGGAGTGCTGTGAGCCTGGGTCCAAGCCTGCTGGGCAGGGACAATTCCAGAGAGACCCTGCAGCAGGACAAGAGTGTATCACTGCAGCTGAAAGTTGTGGAGCACCTTGCAGAGCTGATGGGGGATGTGACTTCAGCCGCAAGTGTGGGTGGCAGAAGTGGAAAAGAGGTGTTTGTGGGAGGCAAGGGTTTTGGAGTGTCAGATGTTGTGGCAAAACACATGGTGGTCATGGTGTCATATTTTTAAAGTAGAAGAGGTCTGGTGGAGCAAGCAGTAAAGGAAGGCGGATGACACGAGCAGCCAGAGGTCTTAATGCTACCGCAAGGAGGCTTTGCAGCTGGATGGATGACCCAGTTTGGGTGTTTTGGAAAGAGTGAGTCAGGAGCTGGGAAGAACCATTGAGGATCCTGTTTGTCATCATGGACCAAGGAGGAAGCATTGGGCAGCTGAGCTGAGGGCAGATGACGTGCAGTAATTATAACTGGGGTGCAGCACAAGAGCTGACAGCCAGGAGACCAGGCACAGTGAATAATCTTTAGCCTCTTCTGTGGCATTTGTGACATTGGAAAGACAAACTTAGAGTTCAAAGCAAAATTTAAGGGTAGCAACCAAAATGATTCTGTAGCACTGAAGCTTTTTACTCTGTTTTTATCGCCTCAAGATTTTCAGTTAGTGGGATCTCCACCTTCAGATGTTTAAAACAACACCATGATTGGGGATTGTAGAATGCACAGAAATTAATTTTCATAGACTTTGCCAGATCATTTTCCTTTAAGAGGGACGTAGTTGCACTTTTAATAACAGATGCACTCTGTTGTAATCATTTGCTAAGCAACAGGCTCACTGTGCTGCCTATGAAGCACAAAAGCAAGGGACGCTTTGACACGTCACGTAAAGCTTACATAAAGTTTGTGAGCAGCAGCAGAAAGAGTGAGTGATGAATGCTGTTGGTTTTGTTCCTTATGTGAAAATAGTTTATAGTTGGGTATTTTTCTCTGCTGGCTGCCATCAGCAATAGAAGTATCAACAGGAGAAAAATGGGTCGCTTGGGTTTTAGCATTAAGCAGCAAATCCAGGGCCAATAGGATTTAGCTGGGATGTTAAGGTTTATTCAGTGCATTTAGTTAATGAAGTTGGGGAGGGGAGGAAGAAGGAAAAAGTCAGTGTCTGGGCTTGGGGGAAGGGATGAAATAGCCTGCTGCCACTGAGTGCATCCTATGGTGACTCCTCCTGATTGATAGATGCTCCACAAGACAAAAACAACTCAGCAAAGGAGGTTTTAATTAAAAAACAGCAACTCAATGCCAGCTCTTTTGGATTAAAAACAAGCAGAAAATCTTTGTAACAGACATCTACTTGGTCTTAAGGGTGCGTGTTTTTACCCCTAAAGGTGCTGTGCCCATCGGCTGGTGAGAGGGAAGAGGGAGATAATAATATGTGCAAGCATCCTTGAAGTGGCCATAGAGCCATGGGGATATTCAGCAAGAGCAATTGTATGTTAATATTCATCAGTGAGGCACAGAAGTCAAGTTCAGGCTAACAAACTCCCTTTTGAGCATTTTGCCAGATTCCTAGCAGACAGCCCATCATCCGCTACGCACACGGGTGGCCCTTCGCTGGGCTCACCCGTATTCTGAAGCCTTTGTGTCCCCTGCCAGAGGCTGTCATCTTGTGTACACACATGCTGTTCAGCATCTTGACTTGCCTTCTGAGCCCTGAAAGCCCTCAGCACAGAGACACAAAAAACAATTAGCATAGAAAGTCATTGTTATTTAAAATATAAAGGGCTATTATCTATATGTACAAAAAAATTTGCAAACCAACATAAATTGATCTCTTCCCCCAAGGGAGTTAGTTTGTTGTTTTTTTTTAATTCTGGTTCTCTGATTCTGGCTCCCACTTGGGTCAGACCTTGTTTTCCCCAAAGCTGTAATGGTCATTTAGAGTCGGATGAAGTTTTTTTCTCCTGTGCACCTCTTCAGAGGTCTGTGCTTGACCATAGTGTCTCAACGCTGCTGGGAGTCATTGAGCAGCAATTCACACTGTCAAGACTCAGCCACTGACCTCAGCAGACTTTTCCTCCTATGTGTGATGTGGGCATCGGTAGCAGGATCTGACTAACAGTATAAAATAAATAAGCAGCAGGTTTGCAAAATTTATAAATGTACCTGTTGTTCTTGGCATAATCTAGTTGCTCAGACAGCCTATAGCTTGATACAATTCTGTGAGGAGGATGCTGCAATATTTCTTAGCAGGATTTATTGCAGTGACACCTGAAAACTTTCACAAAATGGTCTGGAGAAAAACTTGAATGTGTGATTTTTGATAGGTTTTTTTTGGGGTTTTTTTTGATCTTACAAACTTTTTAAATTAACTATTTTCAAATCATAGTTTAAAAATAAAGTAGTGAAAATGCTTAGGAAAACACTATACAGAATAGTTTAGGCACATGTCTGTGATAAGAAAGAAAGAATTTGATTTCATTAAAATTAAACGCACCAACACAAGGACTTGACTGTGATGCTTACAGTAGGGCTTTATGAATGTTCAGCCAATTTTTAGAAAATGGGGGTGGCTGTGTCAGAACAGCAGTCCCAGGCACGGCAGCAGGAGTCTGGGCAGCTGCACACAGAGAATGTGGAGGTCTAGGAAAATACTTCTGTCATCTTTTATGTACAAATAGGTATATGTTTGTTGGTAAACAAATACAGATGTTATTGCTGATCTTAGGATTTTATGAAATGAAAACAGTCTGATTGTCTCAGTGGCAACAAGGGGAGTATATTATCCCACATGCAGAGCATGCTACAGAAAAGTGAAGAGGGGTACATCCCTCAAAAATTGAATACTTTTTGGTACATCTACATGGTAATGAAGTGTTTGGTGCAATGCCCACACCATCTAGTCCTGTATTTATGGTGGCCTATTACCTTTACCACTGTTGGCATATATTTTTTTGTCAGTGGGCAGTAAA